ATATATATGAAACTAACTCTATTGTAATTTCCTTTGCGATTGAGATGATTCTGTGAATAGAGGCACAGGCTGCCAATCCTGACAACCTGAGATTGATCCCCAGGCTCCCGTTGTAAAAGAGAATGGACTCCTGCAAGCTGTCCTCTGAGCTCCCTACACACTCTGTGGCACATACCCCACCCCAATTAATAAATGAATGCAGTAAGACCCTGTCTTAAAAAGACAAAAAACAAAAGAGTTAATAGCAGCTTCTACTGCACACTTGATCTTCCAAACTGTTAACAAAATATAGTCTATTACCCCAGTAGCAGGGACACAGAGGAGAGGAGCTACATAGTTACTCACAAGTACAAGAGGACAAGACTGATTGCCAGGAGCACCCAGGTTTCCACTGACAAGCTTGGGATCAGGTCCATTGTTGGTTGTCCCTCAGCAATTCTGTCCATCATGCAGTGTTTATATGCTGGAAAACAGGTGGGGCCATCTGACCATCATCTGGACTTGGTACCTGCTTCACCTTGACAGTTGGCAAAGGTTCACGCACACCCCTGCTTTGATCTCCTTTGAGTTAATATTCTGTGTGAAATCAATAAATGGCAGTGTTAGATCAGTAAGACCAAAGGTTATTTATTTTTATCAAAATTCAAGTAAAGGCTGAGTATGGTGGCACATGCACGCCTTTAATCCCAGCACTCTTCAGGCAGAGGCAGGCGGATGTCTGTGAGTTCAAGGCCAGTCTAGTCTACACAGTGAGTTCCAGGCCAGCTGGGGCTACAGGGAGAACCTGTCTCAAAAAGACCCCCCCCAAAAAAAATTCAATTGAATGTATTGCCATTAAATATCCTCTAATCTACACTTATCTCTGGCTGGCCTCCTCCTAAAATACATGAAATAAAACCAAAACTGCCCCAGTTACAGATACTCATGCATATTCTTCTTCTGTCCAGAATGTCCTTGTTCCTCCCTGGAGGAACACTTTCTGCTATCAGATAGGGAGATTATCAAGAGAATGTTCTGAGTGCCATTCACAACACTGACCCTCATCCCTAGCAACCGTGGGCATCCAGACAGGTTGGTCAAGTTGAGTTGAGAGAGACTGCTGGGTCCTATGTTGTCCTAATGGATGTGTCCCTGGACACCGTTTAATGGGGACCTGCCTCTATCCCTGTTTTACAGGTAGAAAATGAGGTTGAAGGATGGCAAGTGGGTCTCAAATAGCTACGAATGACAACAAAATATTGTACAGAAAGCTGAAGTGAAAGTTTGAAGTTTCCTCTGCTCTGCTGGTAATGAATATATTAGTTTCTTTGGGGAGTGATGAAAAATGTTCTAAAATTGACTGTGGCAGCTTCTGTAGAACCCTGAAGTATATCTGAAGCCATTGGCAATGACAGTACAAATGAGTGAATCACATAGTATATGAATTACATGTGTGTGTGTGTGTATAAAGCTGATGTGTTCTTTAAAGATTTATTTTATTTTTATTTGTATGTGCTTATGCAAATGTGAATGTGGGTGCTTGTGGCGGTCAGAAGTGGGAGGATCCCCTGGAGTTGGAGTTACAAGCAGTTGTGAGCTGCCCAGTATGGGTGCTGGGAACCAAACTCCAGTCCTCTGGAAGAGCAGCAAGTTCTTTTAACCCCTGGATCTTCTCTCCACCCACCCGATGTGTTTATTTTAAAGAAAAAAAAAACCCAAGCGTGGTAGTGCCCTCCTGTAATCCCAGCACTTAGTGTGTGTTCTTAACCACTGAAACATCCCTCCAGCCCTGTACTTTAGTTTCAGAAAGGGTCTCGCATATATCTTAATCTGGCCTCAAATTTCCTATGTAGCCAAAATGGCCTTGACCTGCTGATTTCCTGTCTCTGGCTCCAACATGCTGGGACTGAAGAAGTCTACCACAAGGTGCAATTTAAGCAGTGCTGGTGATCAAGCCCAGGGATTTGTGTCTTTTAGACAAGCACTCTACTGACTGAACTACATCCTCAGTCCAGAGCACCATGTATTTTAATTAATAAATTCTGTTCTTTGACAATTTCACACACATATACAATGCATTCTTGTCAGCTCTGCCTCTTCCCTACAAATCACTTTCCCATATTCATGACTTTTTGCTTTGTGTTCCACAGTTTAGCTTCATCTGTGTGACCATGGGTTTGGAACTATCCATTAGCACCTGGTGGACTCCAGAGGATACACAACTAGATACAATGCCTCCCCTTCTCCCAGAATCTAAGTTGTCAGTAGTTCAGCAGTAAGTGCTACGAGTCATGAGCCCTTTTCTCATACACAGCTGATAGTTGGGCAGGCCCAAGGCCAGCTACTGTGGGTTCATGATTGCCACAGCCATGTTGTGTTTACAGGGTGGCTTTCAAAGTCCTCTCCTGTCTGCCAGCTCCTATGTTCCTTATGCCCCCTCTGTCACTTACTTTCAAACTCTGCTTTAAGGCAGGCGTGATGACACACGCCTGTAATCTTAGCATTCAGGAAACTGAGGTAGGAGAAGATGGCAAATTTGAAAGAAGCCTGGGAGACATAACAAGAGCCTTTCTCACGAATAAAACTAGAAAACTGTAAAGCTTTATTCTAAATGATTAGGATACTAAGACAACTGTTCTATTAAATGGAGACAGTTAAGAAGATAACTACAGGTGCTAGAGAGATGGTTCCGCAGTTGAGTGTGCTGGCTGCTCTTGCAAAGGACACGGGTTCAATTCCCAGCACCCACATGGCAGCTGGTAGGCATTCATAACTCCAGTTCCAGGGGAATCCAATGCCCTCTTCTGACTTCCATGGGCATTGTACGATATGGGTGCACATACATACATGCAGGCAATACACTCATACACAAAAAAATAAAAATAGTAAATTTTTTTGTCTTTTGAAACAGGGTCTCTGTGGTGAGTTGAATGAAAATGTCCCCCATAGGCTCCAAGTATTTGGACAATTTGTCCCCAGATGATGGTGCTGTTTTGGGAGGTTTTAGAAGGTGTGGCTATCCTGGAGGAAGCACATCACTGAGGGTGGGCTTAGAGAGTTAAGCCTTGCCAGATCTCCAGTCGCTCTGTCTCTTGCTTCCTGTGCCTGTGTGATAATGTGAGACCTTAGCTTCTGCTGCTTCTGGTCCAGCCACATCCAGCCACCATGCCTCCCTGCCATGACAGACTGTAATTCCCCTGGAACCATAAGCTCAAATAAACTCTTCCTTCTATAAGTTGCTCAGGTCAGTGTTTCTATCACAGCAACAGAAAAGTGACTAATATAGTCTCTTTGTAGCCCCAGCTGGCCTGGAACTCACTATGTAGACCAGGCTGGCCTTGAACTCACAGAGATCCACCTGCTTCTGCCTCCCAAGTGCTGGGACTACAGGCATGCACACCACGCCCAGCTAATATTTTTTGAAAGAAGATAGCTACAGCACAAATGTCCTTATCAACATCAAAGGGCTAAGTTTCTTGCTGTCCTTTTACCATGGACCAAAGTTGACTCTTAAGTAACATTTTGAGGGCTAGAGATATAGCCCAGTTGGTTAAAAAAAAAAAAACTTGCCTAGCATGCAAAAAACCTTGAGTTCTATCCTCAACATGACATAAACCAGGTAGAGTGGTGCATGCCTGTAATTCCAGCGCTGGGGATGGGGACGCAGGAGGATCAGAAGTTCAAGTCACCCTCAATTATAACAAGATCAAAGGCAGGCTGGGATACAAACTCTGTATCCAGAAGGAGGGAAAGGAGGGAGGGAGGGAGGGAGGGAGAGAGAGACAGAAAGAGAGACGAAAGAAAGAAAGAGAGAGAGAGACACACATGTGCACACACACACACACACACACACACACACACACACACACACACTAAAGAAAGAAAGAGAAAGAAAGAAAGGGATGATGATGGATAGGTAGATGATAGATAGATAGATAGACAGATAGATAGATGATAGAGAGATAGAGAGATAGATAATAGATGAATAGATACATAGGTTGATAGATAGGTAGATAGGTAGATGATAGATTAATATAGATAGATGATAGATAGATGATGATGATAGATAGATAGATAGATAGTAGATAGATAGATAGATGATAGATAGATGATAGATAGATGATAGATAGATAGATAGATAGATAGATAGATGATAGATAGATAGATAGATAGATAGATAGATAGATAGATAGATAGATAGATAGATAGATAGATGATAGATAGATAGATAGATGATAGATAGATAGATTGATTTGGTTAACCCAATCTGAGAAACAGTAGGTTCAGATCCCAGTAAAAATGACATGTTGGCAGGGAACCCAGTGAGAATACTTTTGTTCACTATTTCTTCCATTTATATGATAAGCTCAAGTGCAAAGTCAGTCCTGATGTGGGAATTTTTGAGTATTCAATTCAAATTTTACCATTCACAATACTGGCTATGGAAAAGGGAAATGAAGAAACAGGTTGAGAGAAGGCAAAAGGTCATTGGTCTCACCCAGCTTCCCACTGCTCATCCTCAGTAAGGTCAAACATAAATATGAAATTTGGAGGAACAAAGTAGTGTATGAGATTGAATCTGGAGCAAAAGAGTAACCAGCACTCAGAGTCTCATGGTTGAGGTGGTATGGTAGCATCATCAGACCTAGGAATGTTCTCTCTTGGCATTAGAGCACACTGGAGGTGAAAATAGGAAGATCGGAAGTGCAGGACCATTCTTGGCTACATAACAAGTTCAAGACCAGCCTGGGATACACGTGAGATCCTGGTGGGGTTTTATTAAGATTTTTCCTACAAGAATATTATATTTGTGCTATTTATAGCCCTTCCAGGCCCCTCCAACCCCTCCCATGGCCCCTACTCCCTCACAATTTCTTGTCTTCTTCTTTGATTATTATTGTTACACATACATACATACATTTATAAATACATACAAACACACACATTCACTGAGTCCATTTAGTGGCGCTCATATGTACCTGTATTTAGGGATACCCACTTGGGATTAGATAATCTCTCAGGGAGCTAGTCTCTGTAGAAAACTGATTCTCCCTCCCTCAGTGATTGTCTGCAGCATATTTTGAGGTGCGTCCTCGTGACATTTCCCCCAGCCATCTTGCATGTCAACTGGTTTTATCATCTTGAAGATCTTGTTAGACTATATACCATGGAAGTTTCATTGGTGTCGTTTCCCTAGTGTATCTAGAATGCATCAGTTAGCAGCAGGAGTCTTGCCCCTCTGGCACTTACAATTTTTCCGCCCCCTCTTCCTCAATGTTCTCTGAGCCCTAGGGTGTAGGGGCTGCATTGTAGATGTATCAGTTAGGGATGGGTATCTCACAGTCACTTATTCTCTGTATTTTGACCAGCTATGGAACTTTGTAATAGTCTCCATCTATTGTAAAAATATGTTTCTTTGATGAGCGGAGAGAGGTACGCGTGTTTGTAAATATAAGGATACATTTTTAGAATA